GGACCCCTCACCAACTGCTTTTCACTCAGACTATGTCACAGAAATAGCCATGGCCATGTATTGAGTGTTTATTGTACACCAGGAACCATACTCTGCATTTTACACCCATCATTTCGTTTCTTTCTTTCTACCACCTTTGAGGTAGGTACAATAATAATCTCCATTTTACAGATAAGGACACAGATTCAGAGAGGAAAACCTACTTATCCAAGCCCACACAACTGGGAAGCGGCAGAAGGGAATTTCAAGTCCTCTGTTCTTCAACCACTATCCCAAACTGCCCCCTCGGACCCTCAACCAGGCTTCCAACCTGAGTGGCTACTCCAGCCAGCAACCTCCCCTTGGCTAACCTCACCCCACCCACAGGCAGGCACAGAGCACACAGAGCTCACAGCTGTAACTTGTAACCTTCGTATTCCCTTCCTGGGCTCCAGTTCTAGATCCTTTAGGACTTGTGTTAAGTCTCACCTCCACCCTTCACTAGATGTGTGGCCTTTGGGCAAGTCACTTTAACAGGTGAAGATTAAATGACATAATGAATGTGAAAATGTCTAGCACAGAAGCTGGCACATTGTGTGTTCTTGGTAAGTGGGGAAGACCAGGCCAAGAGGAGTACAGATGTCCCAAGAAGCCCTGAAAAGCTGACCCCTAACTCCATAGAGAGCCACCTGGGTCTTCCAGCCTCTCAACTTTGCATTCAACCCTTCTGGCAAATACGTATATCCTGCCTCTATCCCCACCATTCATGCTCCTTTATAAATCCTTGGGCTTTAGAGTCAGAAAAACTGAGTTATAATCCTGGCTCCACCACTTACCACTTGTGTGACCTTGGACAAGTGACTTCTTCCTCTTTGAGGCTCAGTGTTCTTATCTATAAAATATCAATAATTGCCCAGCTGGTGTGGCTCAGTGGTTGAGCGTCGATCTGTGAACCAGGAGATCGTGGTTCGATTCCCAGTCAGGGCACATCCCCGGGTTGCAGGCTCAGTCCCCAGTAGGGGGCGTGCAGGAGGCAGCTGATTGATGATTCTCTCTCATCACTGATGCTTCTGTCTCTCTCCCTCTCCCTTCCTCTCTGAGATCAATAAAAAAGATATCTTAAAAAATATACCAATAATGGCACCTATTCCATAGGATTGCTGTGAGGATTAGAAAATAGTATGCGTGTAAATGTTTAGCAAATGCTCAAGCATTTAGTAAAGGCTCAGAAAATATTAACGATTTTTCCTGAATAATAATAACAGTCATAGCTGCCTACTGATTAGAGTCCAAACTCCTTGATTCAGTATTGACAGCCTTGCACCTTGTAGCCCTATTGCTCCTTCCTGGCCTCTCCTCCCTCCTGCTATTCCCCTATGTGGATGTCACACTCAGTCCAGACGTGGCTTTCTTACCTCTGTGCCTCTGTCCGTGATCTTCCTCTCCATTAAGAATGCTCTCCCAAACCTCACACCTGTCCACACCCTGTCCTGCTCGAGTCTCACCTTCCGAGTAAGCCCATAGCCTCCTCTATGTCCTGAGTTTCCACTCTGTCTGCACTTGTCTTACCTAGAGTATCCCTCTCCCAGTGGTCACATGTGACTTCTCTTTGCAGGAATTGACCTTCCTCTACTATCAGCCCACGTGTTCCAGGGATTAATTAAGAGGTGGACACCTGACCAAAACTGAGCCAATAAGAATCAGCTCTGGAACTTTCGCTGGAACCATTGAGTAACAGGTGTTCTTTTTCAACAGGCATTGCTAAGCTACAGCAATGCAGTTTCAGAGCTGCTAGTAGCTGTATTTATCACCTTCAAGAGAGAAGCAGACTTGCCCTGGCTTGTTTGGCTCCGTGAATAGAGCGTCGGCCTGTGGACTGAAGGATCCCAGGTTCAATTCCAGTCAAGGGCACATGCCTGGGTTGTGGGCTCAATCCCCACTGCGGGGTGTGCAGGAGGCAGCCAATCAATGATTCTCTCTCATCTTTGATGTTTCTATCTCTCTCCCTCTCCATTTCTCTCTGAAATCAATAAAAATATATTTTTTTTAAAATTTGAAAGAGAGAAGCAGGCTTAAAAATAAGCCAATACAGAGGAACAAAGAAATGAAGAGAGACATATTATAATGGCATTATTTGATCATCTAGATTCATCCATGCCTGAAACCAGATACTCTTGACTTTTAAGTTATGTGAATCAAAAACACTACCCTCTTTATTACTTAAAATTTTTAAAAATTATCTTATTTTATTTTTAGAGAGGAAGGAAGGGAGAGAAAGAAACATCTATGCGAGAGATTGAACCTGCAACCTAGGCATGTGCCCTGACCAAGAATCGAACTTTCAACCTTCTGGTGCACAGGATGATGCTACAAACAACTGAGCCACACTGGTCAGGGATACTCTATATTATTTTTATTTATTTAAGCCAGTTTGAGTTGGGTTTCTGTCACTTGCTAGTGAAAGACCGCTGACCAATATAGTGATCTAACTAGATGATAACTTGAGAGCAGGAACTGCATTTTATAGCCTTACAAAATGCTCTCAAATCCTTGGGGACAGGGGTGATCTTAGTGTCACAGCGCATAGCATAAGGATGATCACAAAGCAGGTAAGGAATAAACTCAGAAATCTCTAAGCAAAATGGAATCAACTGCTCAACTCTGATAACAGCCCTCAGGGGTGGGACAGTAGCACAAGAGAAAGAGCACTGGGCTAGGAGTCAAGACTAATTTACTCACTTACTGGCTGTGTGACTTTGGGTAAAACCATAATTTCTCTAGGCTCAGTCTCTCCTCTCTAAAATGGGGGCAGGAGGCCTGGTGGCGTGGCTCAATGGTTAAGAGTAGATCTATGAACCAGGAAGTTACAGTTCGATTCCTGATCAAGGCACATGCCCAGGTTTCGGACTCGATCCCCAGCGTGGGGCATGCAGGAGGCAGCAGATCAATTATTCTCTCTCATCATTGGTGTCTCTCTCACTCTCTCCCTTCCTTTCTGAAATCAATAAAAATATGTTTAAAAATAAATAAATGGGGGGCAGGGGAAGGTGGTATTTGAAGGAGCTGATCTCTAAGATCCCTGAAACTCTATAATTACATAGAGGTTGTGGAACAGTTCACCCAGTCCCCAAGATTAAACCCACTTGGATTACAGAGAATTAAGAGGCCAAGAGGTCAGCAACCCATCTGCAAACTCCAAATTAAGGTTGAGGAATTGGGGGTTCCAACTGAGCATATATTCTTTCCAACTTGCCTTTGGAAGAAGAATATAATTTAAATACATAAAATCATGTTCTGGGTAGCACTGAGCTATATGGAGAGATATGTCCCATATCCTAACAATTCCCCTTTCTCACCTGCTTAAAAAAAAATCTAAGTTGAATGGAGTGAAAAAGCCCAGAGGATGTCCACATCTGAATAAGCACTGACTTGTTCAAAGTAGTTCTTTTGGGAGTTTGGGCAATTCTTCCAGTGGCACAGTACCTCTTGCCTGCATCTGTAGAAGTCCCCTTGGAAAGCAAACCAGCCTCAAGATTTTGCCCTCACTCCTTGGCTTTCATCCCAAATGACAACTGTCAATTTGATCACCCATCCTATTGTCCACACTTGTCCCTGAGTAACTTCCAGCCATTTTAAAAAATCATATTCCTCCTTTAAAAGATGGGAGTTTCCCCTCTCAATGTTGACCTTCAAGAGAATACATCCCATGCACCCAAGATAATTCCCTACAACGTTTTCAGCAGTGGAAAAATCGACAAGTGAGAAAGCACTTCCTCCAGGGGACTCTTTTGAAGGGGCCAACACTTGTTGAATGCTAGCCCTGGCTGGGTAGCTCAGTTGGTTAGAGTGTCATCCTGATATGCCAAGGTTGCAGGTTTGATCTTCAGTCGGGGCACACATAAGAAGCAACCAATGAATGCATAAAAATAAGTGAAAGAACAAATTGATGTTTCTCTCTCAAATCAATCAATAATAATAAAAAAAAACACTTGTTAAATGCTCTGAGGTGCTTATTTTGAAAAACTATCTCTGTTGCATGATCATCATATTTTCCCTTCTCCCTCTCACCCTGGAGGGCTCCAGATTTTTTCCTAGCCTTCATCAGCCCTCCTCCCCCATCTTCTGGCCCCACTTTTCCTAGCCCAACTCTCTTCCCTGCCTGCAATTAGGCAAATGCACAAGTTGCTGAATCTTCAAAATCTGTCTTCGATCGAAAGGCGGGCAGGCGTGGGGGACTCTAATGGATCCTGAAAAACTGTCTCAGCAATTTTTATTCCCAAAGGCCCTTCTCCAATTCTTAGGGTAAGATGTCTGTCTTAGCCAAACATTTCAGAGGGTCCTAGGAATTCATTCCCATTTGGGCACAGCACCAGAACCCTCCTCCCTGCGTTGAATGAGAGTGGGGAATGGAGATCAGTCCTCCAGAGACCCATGTTGCCAGGTGCTGCCAACCACCCACACTTCAAACACTGAATAGACACTATGGACAGCCTCCTGCTATATCTTAGCACAGCACTTTAAAGTTTACAAGATACTCATTTGTTCTTGGAATCCTCTCCACCGTCTTATGGATGAGAAAACTGAACCCCAGAGAAGTAAAGTGAAAGATCCAAGTTTACGATGTCAGGAAGTTAAAGGTCCAAGTCAGATCTCTTGAGTCACCATCTCAAGTTTTTTTCAATACAACAAACATCGTTCACACCTAGAGTCACTCCTCATTCTGGTAATGATTTCCCCTAAAACAGCCAACAGAGTGTCTCAGGGGCCCTCAGAGACTCTACCATAACTCTAACCCACCCATAAACGCAGTCCGCCCATATCCAAGCCCACAGCCCCAAAGACCCATTTCTAAGGCGTCTCTCTCATGGAATTCTCCCCTCACTGCTGAGGGACAACCAAAGGTATGTTTTTAGACAGAGGAGCAGAATCTGTCTCTGATTCCTCCAAGAAAGGGTGCTAGAAGGAGGGAGCCGCTTCCCCCAGCTCCTGCTCTAGGGGTCCCGCCCCCGCCCCTCCCCTACCTGCCAAGAGCTGCATCCAGGCACAGATCTTGTAGACCGTGGCGGTGTTGCAGAAGAAGAACAGCGAAAAGCAGGTAATGCAGCCGAGGATCAGCACCATGGAGAGCAGCACGAAGAAGGCGGCCGCCTTGAAGGCGCCGGACGGGATGGTGCTGAAGTCAGTGAACGAGCCGCGGCAGGTGAGCTCGCGGCCCGTCAGCCCGCTGCCCACACTGAATTTGAAGAGGCCGAAGTAGCCGGGCTTTGGGGGTGCTCACGCTGTCCGCCCAACCCAGTAGGCTTGTATGAAAGACCACCACGTTGATGATGAGCGATGGCGATGGGGACTATGGCCCATAGCACGCCAGATGGCCCGCGAATTCCGCATGTAGTGCTCGTGATAGAG